TAAATGGGAAATTTATGTATTCTAAATTCAAATTAAGTGTTTAAGATTTTGAGAAACAAGCAATCATGATAGGCCTTAGATGGTGTTTGCTTTTCCTTTCTTCCCAGCCATGAACTGAAGGCTAGGTTCTCTCACAGGTGCATACTGGGGAGAGAAGAGACACTGCCTTGAGGTTCTGATCCTTGCGGGCTGCTCTTAGAGAGGAGGGGCCACAGCTGAAGGTTAGGTGCAGAACCTGTGACACTCAGGGTTGTTTGGAGAATGAAGGCTGCGTATGATAGCACGGACCCCAAACTGTCCCAGGCTCTGAGCTCCAGTCCCTGATCTGCTAACCTTTATAACCCACCATACTCCTAGTGGAAGGCAGAGGAAAAAGGCTTATCCTGGGTTACAGTGCCCTTCCTTTGTGGCAGGTGACCTTTGCCGTCTAAGAATTGATCCCTGGCATGGTAAACTGACAAGATGTGACTCCATTATGTTGCCTACAGCAGCTGTGAGTGACACACGAAAACCTCACATTCAGTATTGCCAGAGTTCCTGTTTTTTTTTTTTTTCTTCTAGGAGTTAAGGAGACTGATGATACCTAAAAGAGCCAGCCAGTAGCCAGCACTGAACGCCATGCCCATAATCTGTCAGATTGCCACTCAAGGGCTGGTGTTCTTTCTACACTTTGACCTCTCCTAGCAAGCCCTGTTGCTTACTCAAAGTTTATAATTCTGGTGGTATTTCTGAGAAAAGATGAAGTATGTGGCACTACATTCAATTCTAGGGTGAAAGTAAGGTTAGCTTTTGCTTCCTAAGGCCAAAACTGACACAAGCCAAAATAAAGCTTTTAAATCTAACCTTTCAGTAAAAAGTCCCCAGTTTTTTCTCTGAAAACCATCAAAGTCAAAAGACAGAGTAAAAGTGTTTGTTAAGTGATCTTTAATTCTCAAAATCTGAAAACATCTCTGAGCAATTATGGTGGAGATATTTGTGGAATGAACTTCTCTGGATTGATTGAAAGAGTTTTACTGAGCCAGACATATAAATGGTGTGGTTTGGTATTGTAAAAGCACCCTCACTTTTGGCTGTAGAAGGTCACACACAAGTTGTTAGAAGCCCGAGGGCTTAGGGATTTGTTGTCTAACCTTTTAGACTGAAAAGGCGTAGGTGATAAGGGGTGTGTGTGTGTGTGTGTGTGTGTGCGCGCGCGCGCGTAGCATTTCTTTTGCTAGTCTGGCCCATGGGAAGACATAACAAACTTTTACAGCAACTCTGCCTATAGACATTCAGATTTTTATGGCTTCAAGTACCATTGGGTGTGCAGAGTCCTTTGATATGTGGGTCATGGAAACACCACTGGACTTCGAGTCAGGAGACCTTGAGCAGGATCCTGGCTCTGCCTCTTGCAGCTGACTGACTCTGCATAAGTCAGACTCTGACACTTGGCTTCCTCTGGCTCCTTTGCCTCTGTTCTCAAGATGGTCTGTCCTCATCGGTCTCCAAGCTCTCTGTTGGCTCTAACAGCTACGACCATATGTTTTAATCAAGTTGTTGGCATATCTGCAGGCAGCTGCTTTCAGAGACCAAGATTATCAACAGCGTCTGCATAATTTATCACTTCCTTAGGTTCCAGTACTTCTCAGATGCTTGCTGTTCTGAAGTGCTTTCAAGATGAATGGGTAGGTACAAAGAAGAGGGGTATGATGTCTGTTAAAAGACTGCAAATGTGAACTAATGGTGTGGACAATTCTGCTGATTTTAGGAAGTTTCCTCTGTCTCAGTCACAGAGATGCTGACTTTGACAGCCTTTCTTCTGGCTGGTGTTTTAGACACACTGACCCACAGTGAAACAATGAAATGAACATACTGCTCTTCCTGGCTTCCTGTTGGCTGAGAAGAGTGAAGAGCAGATTCTTTTCGTCCTGCTACTGCCTTGCATCTCCTGAAAATGTCTCCTTCAGGTACTGAAATGGAAGACCGTAAATGGAAAGCCTAACTCCAGAACCAGAATCAGGAGAACTGGGAAAGGGATTCCAAGGGAAGTCAGTGTGGAGGAACAAAGTTGTCCTTGAGCCAGTCACAGGGTGCTTATCACAGTATCAGGCAGGAAAAGAAGCCATCCTTGGAACTCCTTACACTGGGAGCTTCCTCTTCCTCAGGGAGGGGCGGGGCAGGCAGAGCACTTGCTGAAGGACGGCTGCCTCCCCAGGGTAACAGCCAGCCTGGTCCAAGGGTGATAGAGGTTTTCTTTTCTGGCCACCTGCTGGGTTTGTTTCTTGTCCACTGGAGTCTGTAGGCTCTGGGTGCCTTTCCTGTTTTGCCCAGATGCCTGTATTGTTCCCTCGGTTTTGGCTCCTGGACAGCACTTTGTTTTTTTGTTTTTTTTTTTGGTTTTTCTCCGGTACCGGGAACCGAACTCACGACCTTGCACTTGCCAGGCAGGTGCTTTGCCGCTGAGCTAAATCCCCAGCCCCCTGGACAGCACTTTGTGCAAGTGGAGAAGAGGGTGACTCCATTTTCCTCCCATCTCAGGAGACAAAACTTGCTGAGATGACTTCGTGAAGTCAGGAATGCTACAAGGGGCCAAATGCCAGGGCTTCTGGACACGCTTTTCCTTTTTGCTAACTAGATAAACTTCTCTAAGAACTTCATGAGATGTTAAGAATTACTCCAGGTTTAGAGATGTGACTTTGGTTTTGAGGTTGTCTTCCTGTGTGTTAGTAGTGTGTCTCCTTATTTTTCTGAGACATAATATATGTACATCTTTAGGTGGTACATTACAATAACTCGGCACATGTGTACAACATGTGGTAATCACACCAGGGTATCAGTGTGCCTTGCAGTTTGTGGCTTTTCTGTTTTCATGCACCAAAAGAATTTTATTATCACAAATTAATATTTTTTTCTGATCCAATATTTAGCAAGGTACCCTAAATACTGAAATTTGAAACAGAAATATGCTTACTAAGCCTTTTTTGGTCTCAAATTGGATATTTTAAAATACTTCTACCATAGTTATTTATAAAACTCTCCTACCTTTTCCTAAGATATATGTATTTTGAGAGAAATATGTCTCTTTGTGATTCCAAGCTTAGATTAGATCCAAGCAAGATTATGTTCAATGTATATTATTTGGGAGTTTTAATCTACATGTCAAAACCCTTATAAACAACATGAGAATGCCAGAGACAAACTGTATTTTCAATTCAAGTCATTTTTTAAACATAAAAACTGTGCTTATAGCTGGGTACAAGAAGACCAACCAACCAGTGGAACATGTATGTAACTTAGGCAAACATATTAGAAGATAAGTTACAGAAAATTTTTTCAGATAACAACAAATGAAAAGATCTTCTCTCATGACAAGATTAATGCCAATCACAACAGAAATAAGATCTATCTCTCAATAATCAGATTGATAAAGATATACTTTTGAAAACATGCTGTACTGTTTGTGGAGGGAAGCAACAGTGAGTTTATAAATTGATATATTTCCAACAAAATTAAATTTATAATACCTATAAATAGTTAGTATACCTTTGAGTCAACCATTTCTTTTTCTAGGAATTTATCCTAAGATACAGTTACATGTACATGAAATGATATGTACACATGGATGTTCACTGCAGCACTATTTAAAAAGAGGGGACTGACAACAATATAAATGTGTAGGCCAACAATTATCATAACTTTTGTACATCTAGACAATTGATTGTCACACAATTATAAAAAAAAATAAGGCAGGCATATTTGTACCTGAAATGGAGAAATTCCAAGGGACGTTGTAAAGTCTGAAGGGAAGATAGAGAAGAATATGCAAAATATGTTATATTAGGATAAAATTTATGCATATGAAATACACACGCAGTTGTATATAAGCGTATGTGTATTTGACTTGTACTCTACTGGTGGATACATATAGCTGTTCATATTCTGTATGTGCATGTGCCTGTTTATGTTTGTATATGTGTAGGATATTTCTGAATGAATACAGAAGAAGTAGGGAGTAGAGGAAAGGGAGGCTGGATGCAGGGAGCTGGGGAGGAAAAATTATATTTTTTTTATTTACTTTGTACCGCAAACAATGGTTCCCATTTAAAACTGTAAATATAATTAATTTTTAAGTAGACAAAATATTACTTTCTTTTTCAATATCCTGAAGTTCTTACGTTCATCCTGCAGCCCCTAAAAGGAGATGCTTCTACCTCTCAAGCACAATGACCAACAGGCTGAAGAGTCCTTCTCTGGTTTGGAGGCCACTGTTCTTACTGTACTTCTTAAAATAAAAGGGCTTTCAAGGTTTATCTAGCTAAGACTCTGGAGCAAACTTGGAAGGTTCCTGAGCTCAGGCTTAGCTATCTGCATCTAATCCTCAGAGTCCAGGTTCTCTTCTAGATAACTGAGTTTCTCCTTCAGCAAAGGCTCTGCTTTTCTCTCCTTTTTAACTGAACGATTATCATGCTCCAAATATTGCATACATGCCACTGTTGCATGTTTTTTCTTCATCATAATAGCTTTTTTATGGCTCTGTAATACAGAAAAAGAAATGGAGTCACGAAGATCACACAGCTAGTCAGTGACTTTTTATTATATAGTGATGTTAAAAAACAAAATGATTAATGCTAGAATAGTTCACTGTTTCAACTTGGAATGAGACATAGAATATTTAATACAAGTTCTTGGCTTGGGAATATTTGAGAAATTGCTTAGGGATGGCTGGGCTCTAGTATTTTTATTTCTCTTGGCAGAGAAATGTGTAAAATGGGTTCTTGACAAAAATCTGGGTGGAGGGCTGGGGCTATTGCTCAGCGGCACAAGCGCCTGCTTGGAAAGTACAAGGTCCTGAGTTTGATTCACAAAATAAAAAAAAAAAAAAAAAAAAAAAAGCTGGGTGGAAATTACTGTAACCTAAAAACACTGCATGTCCTGGGGAGGATTTGTAACTCCCCTGGCACTGACTCAGGGTTTAGTCAGAGGCAGAAATATATACTCCATATTTGTAAGTGAGATGTCCCTGTGTCTGATGCAAGAACTTGATGTTCACAGGGAAGGTAGGCAGGAAGGTAAGAAGCAAGAGAGTGGAAGACAGCAAGAGCATGCTGGAGCCCTGGAGGACCAGTTAGAACCCGTCAGTCCTCACTGCTTCTGACCCGACCGTGTGTTTGCCCTTCATCACTGCGCTACCCAAACATTGGCTCAGGTGCAGAGAGAACTGGGGAAGAGAAGGGAAGGGAAGGGAAGGGAAGGGAAGGGGCTGGGTGGCAGATCCAGCTGCACCAAGACAAAGTGAGGAAGCGTGCCCCATGATCGCAGGAAAGCAGTGCGGTGCTGCCTCGCACTCACTTAGCTGAGTGATTGCTGGGCATTCCGACTCCGATGCACTTTCCAGGCAAGTTTATTCCTTTATGTTTTTCCAAGGCCTTTGCTTCTCTCTTTGCTTTCACAGTCCCTGCTTGTTCTACAAACTCACTGTAGGTATGCCCTTCTCGAGGGTCCCTCCCCTAACTCTTCCCATATGAATTGAATAGTCTTTCCTGGGTTCCCCTGAACTCCATTCATCTCTCCAATGTTATCTGTATCATAACTGTTGATCTACTTAAAGTTCTTCCCCGCCCCCCAAAGGACTGCAGCATCTTTGAGGCAGCATATGTCTTCTTTTCAGGTTTGTGTCCCCAGCTTTTGGCAGCTTGTCTGGTACATGGAGAAGCTTAACGACTGCCTGGTGAATAAATGAAAGCATGTGTCCTGCCTTCCCTACCCCTGGGTAACCCTGAAGAAAGATGAACTAGATATGGGATTTTATTGCATAATTAAATTACCCTGTCAAAATAATTTTTAGAGCTGAAAGGAAATTCAAAGATCAACTACAGGAAATTGAGGCCTAGAGAGGTGAAGAGAGTTGGCCAAGGTCACGCAGCTGTTTAGTGGCAAACTGGGATTGAAGCCTAGGTCTCCTGCCGGTGGCCAATCCTGGCCCAAATATGGGAAAGCGTAGCTGTTATTTCCTCTTACAAAATACTTTGAAATCTAGGCAAAAAGATGTAGCAGTCTAATAAGTGCTACAGAGACAATGGAAAATTAAAACTACTTAGAGGCATGAATCTCACCGCAGTTATTCAAAACTTCCTGGGAATACCAAGAGGAGGCGGAGATGGGCTCACCACTGATTTCTTCTGGTGGGGCCATTGCCTTTCAAGACAGTGTTTGTTGATCCAACTTTAATGAGGGTGAATGCCCAGATAGCCCAAATGTAGCACATAAAGTTCAAAAAAACTAACCAGTGTGTTTATATTTACAAGTTTGTCACACGGATGATCTAAGATGTTTCTCACTTTTAATGTTAAACAGTGATGGATGTGGAATATATTTTTTTTCTTCTTACCAGTAAGCCCAGAAAGCAATTAGGCCCATTTCAAGAACAAGTCTTATAGAGAATAAAAAGCTAATTTTTTGATGTGTGTTAAACTTGAACTTGACCGAGTCATTACGGATGGGAAAGGCTTTGTGAATATTTAGCAGAAAAATAGTATTGTTTGGCCAGAACTGGTATTGTTCAGCCAGCTTAGTATTTCAAACTTTTAAAAATTGTTAGCCAACATTTAAGCATTAAGAGATTTCACATGTAAAAAACTCTGGATCTCCACCTTCTCATATAAAGTGGAAAAATCCAATGGCATTAGATATACTTCCCTACTATTTTCCTATGGCTGCTGCAACAAATTACTACAAATTAGGTGACTTAAAACAACAGAAATTCACTAGGTCACGGTTCTGGAGGTCTAGGTCTGAAATCAAGGTGTGGCAGACTTGTGCCCCTTTGGAAGTCTATGGGGGAAAATCTTCTTTGCTTCTTTAAGCTTCTAGTGGTTGCCAGCATTCCTTGGTTTCTAGCTCTATCACTCCAGTGTCAGCCTTGGCTACCTTGACCTTGTCAGGCTGTGAATACGGCAGTGGCTGCTCTCAGTAATCACTGGACAGGGAACCAAGACCTACTCCATGATCACTTCTGCCCCTGCTGCCACCTCCACTGTGGTGAATTCACCCACTTTCTTTTGGTTTGCTCCTCCCACCAGGAAAGTAACCCCTTTTCTGCCTCCTGGCTTACTGGATGCGATCACAAAAGGACAGTTGGGTGGTTGTAAATGTAGGTTGAGTGAAACTCTTATCTCTTGGTGAAAGCAGCCCCCACTTTCTGCTGGGGCTCACGATCCTGCAGAATCTCAAATTGCAAGAATGGAAGGGTAGATCCCCAAAGCAGGTGATGGGGGTGGGGGAGGTGCTGGTACTTCTACTGCCTCTTTGTTCCTAGTATATGTTTTTTAGCTCCTGGAGACACAGCATCATGAATGGCCACTTGCCCAACATATAGACTGCATTTGGGAAGACAGCACCGGAAATCCACTGTACGTTGTTTCCCAGATGGAACCATTTGAGATACTGTTTCAGAGGGCAATCAAAATTGCGCCTGGTGTATTGTGTGGCAGGAGCCATGTATGTGTCCATTGATTAAAGGGGTGTTATGCAGGATTCTGTATTGGTAATTATCAGAAAGAAGGAGGGGAAATCTACATTCAAAATAAGTATGAGGGGCTGGGGATTTAGCTCAGGGGCAAAAAGTGCCTGCCTGGCAAGTGCAAGATCGTGAGTTCGGTTCCCGGTACCGGACAAAAACCAAAAAAACAAAAACAAAAACAAAATAAGTATGAATTCTAGTAAATTTGAGTCACTACCTCTGCCCAAGTGGAAGAGGTTTGTTGTAGTCAAATTTGACATCAAGTGTTGGGTTGGTTTCCGCAGGAGGTAGAACTCATGAGAGCTCACCATAAGCCTTGGTTATTATAAGTCAGAGAGCTGACAGTGGCAGTAGTTATGTCAGCTTTGCTGAGAAGGAACCCATGCTACTACAGGGTCCATCCTTTATCCCTGCTTCCATAGCTTCTCTGAGGTACTAGAGAAAGCCTTGAGACAAAAGCAGAAAAAGGAAGCTTTGAGATAGGAGGTATCAGTGAACTAGGAATTAGTCCAGCGTGACCGAAGGTGAATTTAAGAGGTGGGACAAGGGGATATGTTAGCTTTTCATCACTGTGACCAAATACCCGATGTAAACAAATTATGGGAGGAAATATTTACTTTGGCTTGTGGTTTCAGAAGTTTCAGTCCATGGTTGGCTGGCTCCATTGCTTGTAGGCCTGTGGCAAGGTAGAAACATCACGGTGGGAAGACACAGCAGAAGAAAGCTGCTCACTTCATAGAAGCAGGAGCAGGAAAGAGAGAGGTGGGGAGGGGGCAGGGATCAGGTATAGTTCCTAAGGTCACGCCCTTATGATGCCCTCCCTTCAACTAGGCTCAATCACCCATTTCCATCACCTTCCAACAGTGCATCACGTTATGATCTCATTGATGGATTAATGTGCTTGATGAAGAAGTTAGAGCTCTCATGATTCGATCACTTTCCCCAAGCCCATCAGCAACCCACCTTCAGTACAATGAACCTTTGGAGACAGGTCAATGGACCTTTGGAGACACGTCAATGAACCTTTGGAGACGTGTCAATGAACCTTTGGAGATGTGTCAATGAACCTTTGGGAGACACAATGAACCTTTGGGAGACACATCAATGGACCTTTGGAGACACATCAATGGACCTTTGGAGACATGTCAATGAACCTTTGGAGACACGTCAATGGACCTTTGGGAGACACATCAATGGACCTTTGGAGACACGTCAATGGACCTTTGGAAACACGTCAATGGGCCTTCAGAGATGTGTCAATGAACATTTGGAGACATGTCAGATTCAAGCCATAACAGGGAAAATAGGGTCAGCATTAGAAGCAGTTACTGTATTTGCATTTTAAGGTGAATATCTAGTGGCTGTCCTCCCCAGGATTATTTGCCTAGTCTGAGATCCTTCTTCCTTTTGTTCCTTCTCACAGAATCTCAGTGTACACTGAAATTTTAGAAACAGCTTTCTTTCAGGGCAGTCTCTCTCTGTGTCTACCTCTGTTTCTCTCTTTGTTTCTGTCTCTGTGTCTCTGTCTCTGTCTCTGTCTCTGTCTCTGTCTCTGTCTTTCTGTCTCTGCCTCTCTCCAGAAAATAAAGACAGCAGCCTATTAAAAATGGCACTATCTACATGATCAGATTATGGAAACTCTGTTCTTATTTTTAGTTTTAAATATTTTCAATCATAAAATATACTATTTCTGTGATCAAATATTGAAAGCCCTTCTGCATCTCGTTGGGGCCCACAAAAATCCACATTTGCAATTCCATGGAATTACTGGAATTCTAATAAGTTAATTGCAACCTACCACTTCCAGTGCAACACATGGCAAGAATAAAGACATGAAGGCATACTTGTAGTTGTGGGGAGCCAAGGGGTCCTAAGTCCAGCTAGTCCGATGGTTAATGGGAACAAACCCCTCGATCCAGGGCCAAACTCAGGTTTTACTAATTTGTGAAGTGGGGAGTGGCTCAGGGATGAGTGACTGTGAGAATGGCAGGAAGTATGTGAGTGCCGAGCTGGCCTAGGTGAGAGACCTGAAATCACCCCTCCAGTATGGAGAGAGAGAGCTAGAGAGAGAGATGGAGGTGGGGAGGGAGAGAGAGACCCAGAAAGAGTAGCCTACATAACATTATTAGAGGCTATATCTAATATTTTGGGGTTGGTGTTTCAGTTCTGATGTGTAAGTTTTTATGCCCTGAGAACTCATAGCCTCTTATCTCAAGGCTTGGTCTCAGGCCTCAGCCTTTAGCGTGGCTACATGCAGCCTAGCTCACAGGTGTTATTTGGGAGCTGTAGGTAGTGCTTCACTGACCTGTCACATCGCTTTAATGACTACACGTGGGTGCCTTGGCCAGACCCATTTGCATTGCTTAAAGCCAATTGAAGGGATGAAGAACTGTCCTAGCCAGCTGTGCACATACCAATACAAAGAAATAGGGCCAGGTTAGCCAAGATGGAGATGATCACTCTTCTTTTGTCCTGTCCAGGTGGTCCTCCACAGTTGAAAGCAAAGCTACCAAAACTTTGGAAGAATTCACTGTACCCTTTCAGATATAAATTTTGTATCATTTCATCCTCACTTTGTCCAACATTTGAGCTGCTTGAGAAAAGGGGATTTATTACCATGAAACATAGCTTTTCAAGTAGACATTAGAGAAATGGATGAAGAGTTGCTCTACACGCAGTCATGCCAGAAGATAACTAGGTCATATGAGTCATCACTGGCAAAGTAATGTTGTGTGTTTTAGAATGGATTTCAGAGTGAAGAGAGACATACTGTGGTTGCATGTATTTCTTCACTTAATGTGAATAAATCTTAGGGATCATGTGAGTTAGAAATGTAATTACCCAAAAACTTTCTCCAAGGAAAGATTTCTATTCCAACTGAACTGAAAAAGAGGCTTAGTACTTTTGTTTTACTGTATTTTTGATTGGGACTAAATATGTTTCTAATTCTTGAGTAAAAAATATTCAAATATACTAAATGTATTTTATTTCTTGAGGTAACTACTTATATTATTATTCTCAATCCACAATTTTATTATGCTCACACATTTGAACTTTTATTTTTTAATTTTAAGGCACCTTTACCAATCTTGAAAAAATAGAGGCAATCAGTTCATATTCATGAAAAAAGGAGACTTAAAAATTGAAAAGCTGTTAGCACTGAATAATTTAGTGCCATCAAAATATACCAATATTCTACTTAGACAAATTCCTGATTGCAAAAATGACAAAAAGTAATTTGTAAATGTTTTGTGCCTGTCAGTGGGTCATGCTCTAGTGGGTTTGAAAATGCATAGATATAGTATTACTTCCTTGTTTGCAAAGGTTTTTATAGAAGCAGAATGCTAGAGAGGATTTCCACGAAGATGGCAGAACGGTGAACAGCAGAGAAACGGCCTCTCTGAGATTTGGTGTCTACACACTGGAATATGGCCATGTGAGGAAGAGAAGGAAGAAAGTGGGTCCCTGGGAACCAGCGAGGATCTGGACTGAGAACTGAAGCCCACGGGGAGAGCAAAGAGAGGGATCTCAGCACAAGAGAAGGAGGTGGCAAGTGGTACATTCTCCCTGAGCCCTGGCTCACTGTGTGGGAGGGGTGGCTTGAACTTGCACAGTGATACTGGCGCCCCTGAGGCCTCCACAGAGAAATGCGCCAGTGGAACAGAGCAGCGGACACAGCGGACTGCAGTGGCTGGGGAGTTATTTGGGTTCAGGTGTTCTAGGACAGGGCGGGTGGCCAGTAGCCATTTTGGAGAGAGGCCAACTGAGCTCTGAACTCAGAGAAGCTGCAGGCCGGCTCCATCTAGCTGCTCTTAAAGTCAAGGTGAGACAGACCTGAGTTCAAGTCTGCAATAGGTCAAGGAGCCAAGTTCAAGGCATCAGGAGGCACATGGAGTTTTGCTGGCTGAACAAACTGGGTCTGGCCGTACAGCAAGAACCAGCTTGAACTTCAGTGGAACTAAAAGTTCAGGCTTGTTTGGGTTATCCACTATCCCACTGTAAATCTATAGCTGGCTAGCTCGGATTCATCAACACAGATCTGGGCTCTGTCTGCCCATTCTGTCTTCCAATGACAGCTGAGACACACTCTGAAGTGGACGTTACTTTTACTTCTTTTCCTCTTTTATTCTTTTCTTATTTTTTGTTTTTTTTTTCTCTTGATTGTTTTTTCTTGTTTTTATATTAGTGTGAACATTATTTCTAGTTTTCTCTTGTTGTTCTTTCTTGTTTTTACTTCTTCCTTCTCTTTCCCTTCTGTCATTTTCACCAGCTTCCCAAAGTTTGTGTAATCTTCCTTCCTTCTAATCTCTTCCTATTCTTCTATGTCTCCATATTTTCCCCTAACTCCTTTTACATTTTCTCTCCTGAGGCTAAAATCATCATTAGCCAGAGCAATTAGACAAGAGAGAGAACTAAAAGGAATAAGGATAGGAAAGAAGAAGTTAAATTATCATTATTTGCAGATGACGTGACTCTGCATAGAACATTGCAAAAACTCCACCAAAAGATTTCTAGATTTAATAACCAAATTCAGTAGCATTGCTGGATACATAGTCAACACTCAAAAATCAATAACATTCTTATACACAAACAACAAACTCACTGAGAGAGAAATTAGGGAGAAGACAACTTTCACACTAGCATCTCCTCAAAAGTGAAGTCAATCTAATGAAGGAAGTAAAAGACCTTTACAATGAAAACTAAAGTACTCTGAAAAAGGAGATTGAAGAGGATATCAAAAAATAGAAAGATAGCCCTTGATCTTGGATAGGAAGAACTAACATAGTGAAAATGACCATACTTCCAAAACTGTTATACAGATTTAATGCAATCCTAATCAAATTTCCAATGGCATATCTCACAGAATTAGAGAAAACAATACTAAAATTCCTTTGGAACCAGAAGAGACTTAGAATAGTAGAAGCAATTCTGGGCAACAAAGGAAAAGCAGGGTATGGCCTAATCCCTGACTTGAAATTATACTACAAAGCTACTGTGATAAAAACAAAACAGACCCAAGGATCATGGAACAGATTAGAAGATGCAGAAACAACTCCAAACACACTCAGCCATCTTACCTTTGACAAAGGAACCATACATCTTCACTGGAAGAAAGATAGGGTCTTTAATAAACGATGCTGGATAAACTGGCTTTTCGCATGCTGAAGATTAAAACTAGACCTGTGTCTTTCACCATGCACCGAACTAAAATCAAAGTAGATCAAAGATCCAAATATTGAAAAAAATAAATCTGCTGGAAGACAGAATAGATAGAAGAACTCTTGAAGACACTGATGTAGCAAAGACTTTATGAACAAAACCCTGGCAGCACAGAAAATATCTCAAAAAGTCGACAATTGAGATCTCATCTTATTAAAAAGCTTTTTTCATACCAAAAGAAACCACCAGCAGATAGAGACAATACATAATGCTGAAAAAAATTTTTGCCAGCTGCTCCTCATACAAAAGAGTACTATTTAGAATACCTAAAGAACTCAAAAAGATCAGACCCAAATTTTAAGACCCAATCCAACGAATAGATACTTCTCAGATGAAGAAGTAGAAATGGCAAATAAACATATGAAAAAAATGTTCAACATCACTGGTCACTTGAGAGGTGCAAATTTTTAAAACTCTGAGAGTTCATCTCAGTGCAGAAAAACTGGCTATTATTAAGAAATCAACCAATAACAAATGCTGGAGAGTCTGTGGGGAAAAAGGAACTTTTCTCCACTGTTGGTGGGAGTGCAGACTGGCAACCGCTGAGGAGATCAGTGTGGTTATTCATTAAAAAACAAAAGCTAGAGGTTCCATTCAACCCAGCTATCCTCCTTCTTGGTATCTTCCTGAAAGAATTAAAAACATCATACCAGTGATATATGCACACCCAGTTTATAGTGGCACAGTTTGTAATAGCCAAATCTTGGAAATAGTCCAAATACCCATCAACCCATGAATGGGTAAAAGAAGATGTGGGTTTTTTTTTTTAATACAATGGAGTACTAGTCTGCCATAAAGAAGGATAAGCTTGAGACATTTCTAGCTAAATGGATGCACTTTGAGACCATATTCTTGAGTGAAATAAATTGGACACATATGTTTAAATACTGAATTATTTCTCTGAGTTGAGAAACCAAAAGGGAAAATAAAGATCAAAATATATAGTAGATATTGGGAAATGGAAAGAAAATGTTTAAATGAGAAGGGGAACAAAGGAGGGGGGAGGAAGTAAAGGACAAGAAAAGAGAATAAAAGGAAAAATGGAAACAAAGCTTTTGTAAGGAAGGGAGGAGGGGGTTGAAAGGAGGGGAGGGGAATGGAAAATGAAGAAGCAAGATATAGCATGTACACTTACAAATTCCCTCTGATGAATGTTATCATTATGTATATCTAACATGTACCTATAAAAAAGAAAAGTATACTTTCACAAAAGCAAAGAAACAGACAAAAGAAACAGAGTGCTAGAATAGACTGGAGAGGTAAGTAAACCATGCTGTTTTCATAGCTGAAATAGATAAGGAGAGTTTAAGTCATCTGTCTAGGCTGAATGTTAATGGGTGTTAGACCTGTTACAAGTACCAATTCATTTCAGGCAAATTGAAAACAGAAATAAACATTTATTGAGCATCTAATACAGGTTCTTGAGTATATTTTACTAGAGAACCTTCACAGAAGTCTAATGAAGTGGGAACTCATACTGGGAGCTGAGGTATAGCCCCAGGTCACATAGCTGACAAGTGTTGGAGCTGTGATCAAAAGCAGGTCAATCTCCATCAATGAAGCCTAAGAGAAAAATTATAAAAAGGAAATGAATTAGAAGCTATGCAAAGACAAAGATGAAGCTGAAATGTATACTTCCAGGTGAAAAATTCAATCCGATAAAGTTATATATTATATAATTCCAAGTATGTATTACATTCTGGAAAAGTGATACTATAGACAGTAAATAGATCAGTGGATTCCAGGACTTTAGGGGGAGAGGAAGTGCTGAAGGAAAGAAGCCTGGGGGATTTTTAGGTCAACAAAACTATTCTGTACACCATAAAGGAGTGTTATGGTTTGTCTGTGTGTCCCCCCAAAGCCTCATGCAGCAGGCTTTTAGAGTTTGATTGGTTATGGGTGTGAGAGCTACACCCGCCCTGGGTTGGAAGTTTGCATATGTAAGGGAGAGGAAGAGGGTGCTTGGGGCCATTCCGCCCTTGTGTGTGCTTGTTGCTTTGGCTGTGTTCCGCTGCCATGAGCTGTCGCCCTCTGCCATGTGCCACTCTGCCTTGTAACCTGCCAAGTATGGACTAAAACCTCCACAAACTGTAAGCGAAATAAACCTTTCCTTCCTTACTTTTGGGCATCAGGTATTTTTGTCCCAGCAACGAGAGAAAAGTAACCAAGACAGGGAGATATATGGTGTTATGCACTTGTCGGAATTCATAAACTTTTTCACAGAAAGAATCTACCATAATGTATGCAATTTAACAAACAATTTAGAGGTCATGTGACACAAGGAAGAAATGCTGACTTTGACAAGAGGATCTAACTGTGTTACAGATATATGAAACAACTTCAGGGAAGGTATGAAAAGGTGGTGACAAAAGCGATAGAAGAATGTACATGAGCGTTCTATTCTGATTGGCGAAATTCGTCTCCAAAGAGGTATAAAAAGTGAACAATTAAGTAAGTATGTGGTGGGTGGTGGGGGCCAGGCTTCTCACTGTTGGAGTGAGAATTTACTTACAAGCAGGTGGAAACCAGAATGATCCAAGCATTATTATACCGCACTATGAACGCACTTACTTTCATGTAAATACACGTAAGTACAAGAAGTAGAATACACCATGTGTCTCCTTGTCCTCTTAGCTGAGAGGGGCCCAGAAACAACAGAGTCACAGGACGCATGGGCACACGTAGTGTCCAGGGAGAGACCTTGGCTTCTGATCTTGGGAGGGAACAGTGTTATTTGGAGAAATGGCTCTTTCTAGGACTGGAGCAGGGAAGATACAACAGGAACATATGCAGTGGCAGCAAGCAAGGAGGTGCAAAAAAGCAACCAAAACACCCTCGCAAATACAAAAAACATACTTACATTGCTAGGGTGTTTCAGAGACACAGGAGCTGGCTGGGAGAGCTTGTGTTGCTTTAATAGGAACAATCTGAGTTGCAAAATAAAGAAATATTTGGATGTATAAGATAACATACTCATGAGTCTATATTGATCTACAGAAATAATTAAAAAATAAGTGGAGAGACAAATTTCCTTTGCAGAAGAATTCTAGATAACACATGTGGATATTTTGTCCTTAGAGAGGGAGACTGTTCACAGGACTGCCTCCCAAAGAACACAGAGTGGAAGCTAGGGGGATTTCACAGAGGGGAAACCTGAAAACAACAAATCAGCCAGGGGACAGAGTCAATATAAAGTGATAAGTCAAGTTGGTCGTATGTCTCCTAGACATGATGTGGGGAAAATGGCACTTTACTCCGGGGGTCTTTCTCTCCAAAACCCAAACCCTCTGTCTAATTGTGAAAAAATATCAAATTCCAATGGAAGGAAAATGCAAAATACTCAGCCAATACTTTAAAAAATCTGTCAAGGTCATCAAAAACAACGAGGGTTGGCACCAAGCAGAGCTGAGCCGAAGCTGCCAGATCCAAAGTCCCAGCTGAGACAAGCCTCGGAGACGTGACAATTAAACACACTGCGGTACCCTGGAACAAAATGGACACTAGGTAAAAACTAAGGAAATCTGAAAAAACTGCACTGCAGTTAGTAACACAGCATTACTGGTTTATTAGTTATGCCAAATGGACTATACTCATGTAAGACACTGACTGTTGTCTTTTATTAGAGAAACTATGTTTGGGGCACATGGAACTCTCTGAACTAATCTTTTTAACTTTTCGGTAAATCTGAAACTGTTCTAAACGTGGAAGTCCATTTTTTAAAGGAGAATTTAAGACATTCTCAAATAACCAAATATTTAGACAATTCACTTTTGCCAGACCTTCCCTACAAAAAATACTAAAGGAAAATATTTAGACTGAAATAAAAGGATACTACAGATAGTTACCTAGGATATATGCAGAAATAAAGAGCCTTAGTAAAATTAACTACAGTAAATATTGATAGGAAATTATAAAGGATGGTATAAATAGTATAGGAAACTTTATAGAGCTATGCTCAGACTCTTTTCTACCATGTGATTTAAAAGACAACTGTATAAAGCAATAAGCATGAAACCATGTCAATGTTTTATAAATCATAAATTATAAATTCTATGATGATAATATGACAAAGGCGGAGGGCAATGGAGCTACACTAGAGCAAAGTTTTTATATTCCAGTGAAGTTAAGTTTGTGTAAACCAAAGAAGTTTGTTTTAAGATGTTAATTTATACAGCTAGTTTCTCTTAGTTCATTAAAAAGAGAGTTTTGTGCTAATATTGTACAGACAAGATATCATGCCTATATTTTCTACTCTGAATAACTACTAGGAAGACAACAATACACAAGGTATCAACTATTGTAACTGTCCTACTAACCTGTTTTGGAACTCGATGTCATTGTTATGTTTATTTTTTCCTCTCCAAAATAAAAAAAAAATTTAGAAGAAGATGTGTACAAAGCCCACACAGAGCTTGAAAGGACTTGCTTTCTCTTATTTGAAGTAAAAATAAAGACTCGAGTGACATAATAAGAATGAGTCACTCACCTGAGACTTCTTACCTGAGGACTCACATGCCACCAAAGCATTGCATTAATGGATGCAACCCTGCTGAGAGAGAGGCTGTCAGCTCTGGTCCGTGACGACTTCTTGGGCTTCCGAATGCACCTATAATGCCCCAGAGTGACATTTTGCAAACGGGGCTGAATGGATGGGTTTCCCCCTCTCACTTTCCAAGTCTGTCAAAGACTAATACTTTCACAGAATGCAGTAAGAATAAATTCATACAAACATTTAATGTAAAAGAAGATGTTAATTTTAACGTCCCTAGCAATCACTAAGAAAAAAAACCCCTAAAAATATAGAGTAGAATAAACAAAGGAATTAATATAGTACAATAGAAAATATCTATTTACCCTCACAGAAGGTAATAATGGAAAAATAGGGGAATTAAGAAAGCATATAACATATAAAAACAAATAGCAAAATTATAGATGAGAGTCCTACCTTACCAGCAATTTTATGAAACATAAATGTATTAAATAGGCCAATTCAATAGCAGAGATTTCAAAACAGATGGAAGAAAATGAGTATCTACTTATAAAAGAATGACATTGGACCCTTATCTTGTAACATAGGCAAAAATTAATGCAGAGTGGATCACAGACCTAAATTTAAGAGTGAAAAATGATAAAACCCTTAAAAAATAGGTGTAAACACTTGTGATCTAGGACTAGCCTATGACTTCTTACATATATCAAAAGCACAAACAACAAAAGAAAAAATAAATAAAATGGACTTTATAAAAATTTGAAAATGTTTTGGACTTTAAAGAACATCAAGAAAATGGAAAGATAACTTACAGAGTGGAAAACGTACTTACAAGTCAGGGTGATAAAGAATATATCATCCCAGTAAAAATAACATCACGTTAGCTTTCTGTTGCCGTGACAAAAAACAGCTCAAGGAGGGAAGGTTTATTTTGGCCCTAGTTTCAGAGGTTTCAGTCCATAGCTGGCTGGTTCCAGGGCAGAAACACCATGGAAGAAGGGTGTGGTGGAGGAAAATTGCTCACCTCACGTTTGCCAGAAAGCAGAGAGAACAAGAAAGAGCCAGACAAGCTGTGCTATTGGGCTTCATCCTTCTGCATTTGTTTCACCCAGATCCCTTCCTGTTTGCATGGTGCCACCTATAGTCAGGGCAGTTCTGCCCATAGCTCACTGATCCTCATGCCAGCCTTCTCTGGAAACACCTCCACAGACACACCCAGAAGTTGTGCTTTACTAATCTCCTAGGTGTCTCCAGTCAGTTGACAATGAGGATTAACCATCACAAACATCAACAACAGAGTCAATTTAAAAACGGACTGAAGGTTTGAATAGCTATTTCTGCAAAGATTTACAAAACAGGTAATGAGCACATGAAAATGCCCAATACCATTAGTCATTGGGGAAATACAAAGCAAAACCACGCTGAACTACTGCTATCTACCTAGCAGTAGAGGTAAAATATAAAAAATAGATAATAGCACATATTGCTGAGGAGGTGAAGAAATTGGAATCATTACACCTTGGTGGCAGAACTGCAAAATGGTGCAGTCACTTTAAAAATAGCACGGTAGTTTCTCCAAATGTTAAATGTGGAGTTACTATACGACACAATAATGCTACTCCTTGTTGTGTAATCAAAAGGAATGAAAACATACATATGTCTACATAAAGCTTGCACATGAAATATTTATACTCTTCTTCATAATAATCAAAAATAGAAATAACCCAAATGCCATAAACTAATGAATAAACAAAACGTGGTATATCTGTACAATAGAGTATCATGTGATTTTTGTCCTTGATTTCAGAAACCCTGGGTTCGCATTGGTCATTTCTGCAATTTATAAGTCCTTTAGACTTGTGTCCAGCATTTCTGTGTGACAGCTTCTCAAGGGGTCTGTGTCTTTGGTAAATTTATTGTTCATGTTTTGAACCAATTTGGTCAGCTCTTCCATTTTTTTTTTTTTTTTTTTGGTACCAGGAATTGAACTCACGACCTCCTGCTTGCCAGGCAGGCGCTGTGCTGCTGAGCTAAATCCCCAGCCCAGCTCCTCCATTTTTGTTTCTCCCATATCCACACTGGTCAATTTGTATGAAAATTCCGTGGATTTTGGGTCGTACTCTCTTTGAACTCTCCAAGTTTTACTATTACTCTGCCATCTAAATTACTGAGCTATCAAGTTGGAAATATAAAATCATTAGGCCATAGGAAGAAAGCTATCAATGCATCTTTTTAGAAATGTATCAATGCTTTTCTGAATGTTCCCCACCCTATCTTTCTTTATATCTGATTGCTGTTTTCTAAACACACTTGATTGTATTTCTGAGGTTGGGATGATCCCATTGTGTTTCCTACACATATAAATAACAGTTAGTTAGGCCTTGTCAGATGAATTCTTTAGGCAAGTACCTTCTACACTCTCACACCTTCTGCATCCTCAGACTCCCACAAGCCACTTAGAAATTTCCACCACCCCAATTCAGAATGAGTTTATAAACTGACATTTGGAGATAAAGAAAACTTCAAGAGATGCCAAGAGCACCTGGTCCAATTGAAATCACGGCTTCAGCAGGAAGTAACTTTTCTAAGCACTGAAGATTTGATCGACAAGCCTTCTCAACTTACAAGGAAATGCTGTGATGAGGAGCCAGCACAGGATCTGCACGACCAAGGGAATTTAAGAATAGTTTATGTTGAAGAAAGCCCTGGGGACTTTACCCTCACAATCCCGTTCTGGCCAGTTATATAAAAATTAGATGAGCTCCACACATTAAACATTTCTTGTGGAAAGCAGACTTTCTTTTATCTTGAAAGAAGATAATTTCAGTTCTATAAAAATGCATTGTTTGGGCAGTATTATTGGTTATAGTCCAAAGAAAGTTTCAGAATGTTCCACTAGAGTTGTAGTTGTAGAACAGTGAATACTAACCTTTCCAGACTGAATTTTTATAAATATCTATTGGGGTTTTCAGAAAGGAAAGGAATGGAATTGCCCATGACTGTGAATAAACAACGGAAGACAGCCAGCAGAGAAGACTCAGGATCTGAGATCATCTCCACGAAGAGCTCCATGCCTGCGGAGGAGGAGAACAATGCCGAGGTCAATGCAGGTCGCCTTGGGCAGCAGTCAGACTTTCTGACAGGATAAGGCTGGGAATTAAATTTACGTATGACCACATCAATGTAGAAACTCACATTCTGAGCACAATTTTTGTTTCTGTTTTTGTTTTTTACAAGATCATCAAATTTGGGCAAAACGCCTTTCTTGTAAACTTTGAGCTCTAGTCTTGGGCTAAAAAACATGCATCTTGTTTAACTTGAGGGTGACAGTTTATAGACTTCTAGGAATATCTCAAGAAGATCTTCAATGTCACACCCAGACTTGTGTGGGTTCTTTAAAACCTCACCTGAGGAAGAATATCAAACACTCCGAGCAGATTTAATATGATTGCTGTGACTTTGTTAACCCATTTCAAGTACATGTTGATGATGATTATGACGACATCTGTATAGAGTGTTTTAGAATTTTGTCCATTTTTACAGACAAAATATTATTTAATTTTCCCAGTAAACTTGTGGGGTATTCATAGCAGGTGTTTTTAGTCTTCATTTTACGTATGGAAAGACTGAAGTTCAGAGTTGTTAAGTGTGAACTAATTGGGCAGATGCTGATCATCAAGATCTAGACCCTAGTCTCTTGACTCCAATTTCAGAACATTTTGTACAATCATGTTCTAAATCTGGACTGCACATCAGAATCATCTCGATAGTTTAAAAATGCCCTGATGCCCTGGCTGAACTTGGACCAATGCAATCAGAATTACCAGGTGTGGCACCTATTTAGTAGCATTTACACGGCTCGGATAAGGCCAAGGTATAGCCATGCTGGAGAGACACATCCTACAGCTGTCTTAGTTACTTCTCTCTCATTGTTGAGATAAACTACTTGGCACCCAAAATTAAAGGAGGAGAGGTTTATTTAAATTACAGTTTGTAGGGAGCCGCGGGTGGGGAGCGCCAGTCTTCCGGCTGGCTAGCTTCCTGCCTGGTGGCTCCTGGAGGGTGGGCCCCCAGCGCATGGGGAGCCTCAGG